TGGGCATGGAGTTGCAAAGCAGAGCTGGGAATTTGGAGGGGTGGGGGGTTACAGCCATGTGATGTTTGGAGCTTTGGGCACTAACAGCTTGTGGTCATCTGGGTGAAAGACGGTGACCTGATTTAGAGCAGGCAGGAGGATGGAGAGAAGTCAGCGGCCTGTGAATGCCGGGACCATGGCGGCTGATCTGGGTGTGCCCGGGGAGGGGGAGGAGCCAGTGAGATGCTCAGCCTTCTGGCTTTGGTGATCTGGCAGAGATGGCAAGTGAGAAGCAGGGGACCTGAGCAGGTCTGGGGGGAGGGGACGATGGTCAGTTGGGGGGCTGGCTTTGAGGTCCTGAGACCCCAGCAGAGATGTTGTGGGGAGCAGTGGGCTGGACAGAGCTGCTTCCAAGTTTGAGGTCTGGTAGGCACCCTGATCCCTGTTCAGGTGTCAGGCTGGATAGATTTGCCAGGGAGCAGTGGAAAAGCATCGCCGGTGGGGGCAGAGGGGGGTGAGGCCGGGGCAGGAGGGGAGGGTGGGCCGCACTGGGTTTGGCCTGCGCTCCTACCTGCCCCTAACTGCTGCACTGGGGTCACCCTGTCCATGACAGGTCAGTCTCCTTAGTGTGGTCGTGGCTCGAGAGAGGAGAGCCTGGAGGCTGAGGACGTGTTTGGTGGGGACTAATTGAAAGACCCGGTCTGGTCTCAGGGATCAGTCCATGTGATCTGTTTTCAAACTTTATTATCGTTCTTTTCAAACGTAAGAATAGAGAGAAACCGTCATAGCGATAGAGTTAAGGTTATGGTATAATGTTTTTAAAGTCGTATTCTAGTATGTGTAGTAGTGTCTTAGTGGCCCATCGCCCAGTTTCAGGTTACCAATATCTTACCATTCTTGATTTCTATATATTCAGTTTCCCACCCCCCACCCCTTTTTTTCCCCCCCTGAAACAAGATATATCTCATATGTCACTTAAGTACAGTTCTCTATCTGAACTCCTGATGTCTTGGGCCTGGTCACTCTTGCTTTGGGGCCTGTGCTGTGTGCTGTAGGATGTTTAGCCCCATCCTAGCCTCCACCCACTAGATGCCAGTAGTGTTACTCATGCCTTTGTGACAATGAAAATCATCTCTAGACATTGCCAAATGTCCCCTGGGGACACATTCACCTTGGTTGAGAACTACTGCTATAAACAGATGACTTTAAAAAATTATTTTAACGAAACCATACAGTACCATTAGTACGTTAACAAAATTACCATTAGTATCTGTCTACCTAAGCCATGTTCCGATTTCCCTTACTGTCTCAAAAATGTCTTTTTGTAGTTGCTTTGATCAAAATAAAGGAACCCTGCAGTTTGGTTTCAGACTTCCTTAAAATTGATCAGTTTTGTCACTTCTTTTTGTTTTGTTTTGCAAGCCGTTTTGCTTGTTGAGGCATTAGGGGGCATGTTTTTATAGAACTCCCCATGTTCTGAATTAGGCTGGTTATATCCACCCCTCCCTCCACTTCTGTAACTGGTGGTTCAAGCAAGATGAGAAGCTTGAGCAGATCAAGGTTCAGGTTTTTTTTTTTGTTATTGTTTTTTTGTTTTTTTTTAATCAACCTGGGTTTGAATACTAATTTGTCAGCTTTCCTTACTTCATCCCTTGTCTGGGGGAGACACCCATGGCCCTTGGGGTGGTTGGGGGAGCACCCAGCATAGTGCCTGGTACAGGGGAGACACTCAGCATAAGTGACCGGTCTCCTTGAGCTCACCCCTGTCCCCTGCCCTTTGGGGCTCTTGACTTAAGCTTCCTCTGCTCTCATTCTCCATGCCTCTGCATGTCTCTGTCTTCTGTCATTCTTTGATCCTGGGGTGCTGGAGGATGTTTGGTAAACCTCCCTCCCTCCCTCTCCCTCCTGCAGAGTTCTGGGTTTGGGTAGATGCTGGCTGGTTGCTGTGAGTGAACCGGCACATCCTTGGAGGCCGGGAGACCTTGGTCTTCACAGCCTGCATCTTTTTCCCACAGATCTTCGTGGAGTTCACCTCTGTGTTTGACTGCCAGAAAGCCATGCAGGGCCTGACGGGTCGCAAGTTCGCCAACAGAGTGGTTGTCACAAAATACTGTGACCCCGACTCTTACCACCGCCGGGACTTCTGGTAGAGGCGGCGGGGGAGGGCAGGGGCAGGGCTGGCTGGGGCTTCTCCCCCTCCAGCTCCCCATCTTTTCCCCCTCTGAAGACGATGGGCAGAGGAGTGACAGCCGAATGACAGCCGGCAGCAACTGGAATGGCAGCGATTAAGGGGGGGGG